GCATATAGAGCAGGTATCTCAGTCAGTGCTAGTTTACTGATTGATGACACTTGTGAAGCATTTCTTCTGCCAGATCTTTAGCAATAGGAATTGGGGTGAGTGTAAGCTAAATGCAGGAGCAGATCTGAAGACATAAGCCAGCTCTTTAGGACACCCCCATAGTCCCTCCCAAGAACCCCAAACAAGTATCACAAACAGGTGCCATGTGCAGAAGGATTCACATTTATTGGTTCAAATACAGTACCTAACACTTGCTAAACATGCATTTCACACTAATTGGTCACATTTCCACAGGTAGTCAATTCACAGAACAGGGCCCATCCCTAGCCAGCTGGCAGGATGGGAGGTAGCAGAGGGCCTGGGTAGCCTGCAGAGCCTGCCAACTATCATTTGGTCATGCAAGGTTGATGGAGACAGGCTGGCGGGCAGCCCTTGGCCGGCCCTTTGGGGACAAGGGCTCAGAGACATCCCATTTATTCGATTCCTACACAAGACTGTGGGTGGAGGTGGGCTTGGGGTAGCCCAAGGGCAAGTTGATGGATGTATGTGCCAATAGAACCCCTGAAGGTGGTATTTGTGGTAGGTGGTATACCCTATGCCTTGGAACACAGGAAGGAAATGGAGGCCTCTACAAGGAGGTGGCTACTCCCTGGCCAGGCAGGTGGGAAGAACTCCCCAGACACAGCCCAGACATTACAATGCAGCCACAAGCTCCTATCGCAGGCCTGGGATGGTAACACAGACAAAAACACCAACACCCCAGGGCAGGCGGGGTTTCTCTCCCGACAGAAACATGTAAACAGAGAAGGAGCTACAGTATTCTTTTCCCACAGGATTCCTCAGAAAGGAATCGACTAGGATGTCATTCAAGAGGTAGTTTTTTTTTTCCCCCCATGGAAATTTGAGTCAACAACATTATCAACTATTAGAAGACATTTCAGAGAAAGAAAAGAATGGTTAGCAAAGGGCAAAGATGATCCTTTGGCTAGTAGGGCTGGCTACAGGATTCAGAAGACTAACCTCCACCAGCTACATGACTTTTCTTCTTGGGCTTGGAGCAAGCTCTGGCCTGACACACAGCTTCCATTTTAGCCCACAGTTGACTCCTGAGCAGGCTATGGCCTAGAAAGGTAGGCCAGATGGGGACTGGGCTGAGCAGAGAGATTAACCTTCTTATAAGCTGGTAGAGGCAGGGCCACCATAGCTCATGTCACAGGAAGGCCAGAAGTCTTCAAGTCTCAAGCAGCTCATGCCTAGCCAAAGGAAGGCCCAGCTTGCTCCCACACTCAGCAGACACTCTGGTCAGAGGAATAGACTCCTCCCTCTGAGGAACAGTCCAGGTCTGGCTCCTAAGCCCAAGAAAGAAGTTGCCTGTGGCAGCCAAGAGGGGGTTTCTGGGGACCCTGTAATTAAATACACATCCCTGAGCTGTGGCCCTAGAAACCCTTGCCTCAAGGCTAACCAGTTTCCAGCACCTGGTGGAATGATTGCCATTTCTCATCCTGAGACACAGATAAAATATCATTTCACAGACACTGGACATGCTTCGAGCCAAGAAAAAGAGGGGAATTATCAAATGAAAGTCAGAGGGGAGTGAGGACAGGGGGCACTTGTGGATCATGGGGAGGGAAGTCAGAGTAGTGGGTTTTTTTTAATTGTTATTATTATTTTTGTTTTGTTTTACTTTTACTTAAAAAAATCAGTAAAGAACAATTTAGAGTTTAATAAAAGAGCTGGTTTGAAAGACTGGATTTCTTAAAACAATCACAAAATTTTAAAAAGCAACAAGGAAGAAAAGACATAGACCAGGAGCCCAGAGCTACAGGTTTGTAACCACTGCTCAAATTCCTGCCCTACCAGGAGGCCAGGAATTCTTTACTTTAGTCAGTCTTGGACATGGCTTAGAGGTTGCCCATGCTAGGTTTGTCCATCTGTATTCATCTGTTTCATTTTCCAGAAAATCAAGCATATAGATAGACACACACACACACACACACACACGTAGGAAATAGGTAGCAAAGCAAGGCAGCTAGCTCTCAGTTCCGAGAGTTTTATGGGCCTGGTAACACTGACCATGGCAGGTCCTTGCCTCTCTGAGAAGGAGTGGTGAGAGGCAGGTCAGTGTGGATCTAGTGATGCTATCAAGTGATGCAGTCAAGACCTCCAGATTCTCTCCAACCTTCCTCTGTGCTTGGGAACAGGACAAGGTGGTGCCTGCCTATTACTTTTCATCCTGGGAGCTCACCCACACCTCATGTATGGACCAGGTATCCACTGAGCCAGGTGGAGTGCTTTGAGACAGGTTCTGGGGAGTTTGCCCAGACAAAAGGCAAGACCACCCAACCTGTGATGGACTTCAAAAGTCTACAAAGGAGCCAGAGAGCATGAGCTGAAGGTGAAGTTCCAAGATTCCAAGCTTGTTTTAGGTCAAGAAAATAATCAAAGGGAAAGGCAGGGAAAAATTTGTATGTTTCAACACAGTGCAAAAGGTGGGGCTCTCCTTTTCCACACAGCTTTCAGAGTCTTATTTTTATGGTGGAAAAATTCTCACTCAAAGTGAGTGTTGTTGGTGGCAGAGGATTGGAGAGAGGACAGGAGAGAGAGAGAAGAATTAGAGACAACATGCACAGCTTTTTTCTTCTTCCACTAGCAAAAAGGCTACCGGTTAAACAAACATTATGGGAAGAAAGGCCAAAAACAAACACACCAAACCTCCCCATGCAACCTTTCTCTGTGTCCTTCAAACCAAATTCACAAATACATCTAGTGGCTGACCTAATGTCTCCACACTGCTAGCTACACTCCTACCTTCTCCTCATAATACCTGAGTTTGCAATGCAACACATTCACTTTACCCTGTTTAAAAAAAGCCCAAGTCATAAAAGGACTGGGTGCAGAAAACATTAAAGGCGGTCCACAGGTCAGGCTCTGGCTTGGAACACGTGGCCAGTTGGCTCAGAGATTCTGCAGGGCTCTAGGCAATGAATGGGCTCTTTGTTCTGTGGAATCTGCTGTAAACATTCGTAAAAATGGATTTGTACAATGGCAACTTGCAGAACCTTTTCCCCACTCAACAAATTAACAACTCGCTCTGTTTAATACTGCATTATTGGAGAAACATGTTCTTGCCTCACTGGAGAGTAATTTCCTTTGATATCAATACAACAGGTAAAATGTTTAATTTAAAAGAAAGCAATTTCAAATAATAATAATATGACAGATGGAGGTCTAAGCAAAGAAAGATGCTGCACACAGAAGCCATCTTGGAGAAGTAATCTCTGATATGTGTCCCCTCCCTTATTTCAAGGGAAGCAGCTCAGAGCTCTGACCTGTGATCAAAGAATGTGATCTAGTTGGTTAAATAAAAATTCAGGGAAATAAGAAAAATTTTGTGAACTTAGAAATAAAACAGGTAGACACATACACAAAAATCTTTCTATTGACATGTGAAGAACATGCTTGTTGGAGCTTTTCCTGAGGAATAAGTTTCTTCTTCTTCTTCTTTTTTTTTTTTTTTTCCCTTCCTCAGAGAAGTTGGGGAAATGGTATTGAGGAATAATGCTCTGAGCTTTAGGTCCATCAAGGGATAAAGTCATCACTCTGCTGGTACCCGTAACATTTCACTAGAGAGAAAAAATAACAATCAAACACAATCTACCCAGTAAACACAGGAGGCCCACTGGGAAAGTGTGCTAGGCTGAGTTGGGGAGAGAGAGCAAACAGCCTTTGACTAAAGAGGCAGGATGAGGTGCTATGTGCCCCTCAAGACTCCCAAGAATGCATCTAGCTAAATAATATGTCTGCTGCATTGGCTGTGGGAGGGATCTGCATATAGGCAGAGGCAATTGTTGTAGTAAGATAGAGAAGGGAAAAACACCTGAAGGAGTTCCAAGACAGACCTGGTGTGGCCACTGGCCAAAGCCAAGAGGGAAGGCACACTCCTGGGGCTGGGTGGGACAGGTAGTGAAAGAACAAGGGGTCCAGGCCATATCTGCAGAAGTAGCAGCCAGGCCCTTAGGAACATGAGGTAGTTTAAAGCCCCCCCTTCCTTCCAGGTACATTTGGCTCCAGCCCTCTGGGACTTGGTTGGTCAGGCCACTGATGCTGTAGTCTCATTTTGGAGATGTCAGAAGGAATAGAATTTAGGGGCAAAATTTCTGGCTAGCAGACATAAATGGTCCTTCCCACTGGTTAAAAAAAAAAAAAAAGGTTTTAGATTCAGTCAGTGGGGTACAGTAGGATGGGATAGGGGAACAAACAAGGAGTTTCAAGGAGTATTTAGTTTTTAGCAGTTTGGCCTTTGTCCCACTACCCTTTGAAGAAACCAAGGTGAAAGAATAAATCAGTAGTGGGCAACAGGATTTAGAGCATGCATGTTGCTCAGCTGATTTTTCAAAGGGCCAATAGGAAATCAAATTTATAAGGGAGAAGGAAGAAGTCTAAAGAAGGTAGGCCGTAGTAGATGCAGGTAAAAGAATTGGGTGGCTATGAGACCCAAGACAAGAACCAAGGATTGACTTATTGCCAGAATTATGCCTGGAGGAAAAGGTGACAGTAGAAGAAACTGGTAGCACCCTTCTGCCCAGCAGACTTGTTTGGCAGGAGGACAGCTGACTTAGATTTGGTCATTGTGCTCCACTCTCTTATCTTTCATGTTTTCCAAAGAAAAGAGATGACTAAATCCTTATTTCTTGCTCTATTCCCCATGTCTCACTTGCCTTGCTTGGTAAACGTCCTAACAATGCTTTGCCCCTCTAACATGTGCTCTTTTGCCTGGCAATTCTATGGCTAGAAAAAGGCAGTTTGCTCTCTGACAGACAAATGTCTGAGGTCTGCTGAGAAAATGTGGAAAAAGTAGGGATGGTGACACCCCTCCCTTTCCACTGAGGTAGTCGTCTTTGTCAACATTATGGAAATAGTCATCTCAGCCCCATCCCACCCTCTCCCTCAAAATACAAAAGAACTATCTCTAAACAATGACAACACTGTAACATTAAACATCATCTTCACATTCTGTAAACTGCAAGGAAATGCATCTGCTGCATTCACACAAAAGCATGTGCATCATGTTGAAGGCCATACATTCAACTCTGTCGTGAAATAAATATATAGAAAAATGAGGTTAAAAAACAGACAAACAAACAAAAACTCTTCTTGCTATGGAAGCAGCTGGAAACGATGCTCCACAGCCTCCATTTTGGTCTCTCTGGCTCTTTCCTCTGAAGCCTGTCCTGCCCACCCAAGGCGCTGTAGTTGGCCTAAGGAGGGGCACTTGGAACAGGTCATTCCTTGCCCACACTTGTCTTGCAGGAATGCAGTACCACCTTAAAGAGGAGGGGCAGCTGCTCCAGGGGCACATTCACCATCTTTCCTGGGAATAATGTATAAAAAAAAAAAAGAGTTAGCAGTGGTTGCTAGTTGGAAGGGTATGTCTAACTCCTCTTGGGTTGGTGAAGGGAGAATATTGCTTTCTTGAGTGACTGAAACAAAGGAAGTGCCAGAAACATCAGAAAGGTCAGACAATCTGGGCTAGGGTTTTGATACTTAGACCCATTTAGGTACCCTAAGGAGTCTAGTAATGGTGCCCAACTCAAAATCACTGCTTCTGGCAAGGGGATACCTTGTGCTAGGTCTTTAAATTCATTACCTCATATAATTCTTACAATATCTTTCTGTATGATAGGTACTATTGTTTATTCCCATTTCATAAATGAGAACTCTGAAACTGAGAATTATTCCATGATTCCTAAATGCCCCTAAGAACTAAAATACAAGGAGAAATTTAGAATTTTCTTCTTTTCCACATAGATTCTCTAACTAGCATTCTATGGAACACTGTTATTTAGAATACGCAGCATAATAGGTTAAAAGGTTAAGAAAAGCACTGGGGGGAAAAGCGATTGTTCACAGAGAAAACCAAATTTGAAAAATTCAGGGTTAAAAAAGTAATACAGATTTTTTTAATTCAAGGACTTCTCAAGAGAATTATCTAGTATACTAATATATCTTGTATATATCTAAGGGCTGTGGTTCTTCCTCACAGTACCTTAGAATCACCTGGGGAGCCCCCCCTCCTTAAAAAACAAACAGATGTCTGGGTCCCATCTTATACCAATTAAATCAGAATCTCTGAAGAAGAACGCAAGCAATCATATTCAAAAAAATCTTCCAGGTGATTAAAAACGCAGCCAGGGTTGAAAACCCTACTCTACGGGATGAGACTGGGGCATAATTACTGATTTCCCTTTATTTCACAGAAGGAGCTCTGGTGGTAGAGTGGTTAAGACATTTGGCTGTTAATAAAAAGGTCAGTGGTTTGAACCTACCAGCTGCTCCAGGGAAGAAAGATGAGGCAGTATACTTCCATAAAGCTGTATAAGCTTGGAAACACAGTGGGGGTTGCTATGAGTCAGAATCCACTTGATGGCAGTGGGTTGGGCTTGGTTATTTCACAGAGCACCTATTTAACATCTCCTGCTCTGTAGAACACAGTTTTGAAAATGCTGAGACTTAAGGCAAAATACTCCTAAAATTTAAATAGTTTAGGTTCAGCTCACATGTGGTAAACTGCTCTGGCCCCAAAAGTAGAAAAGCAAATTTCCTTGTCAGATTGAAAACTTTCTGCTTCAAAACGTGGATAGTTGTAAACAAGAACCTTAACTAAATGAAGTAAAGCAGCAACAACAACAAAGCCAGGATTTTTATTGAAATCGACCTATTTAAATGTCAGGGAGCTCAGAAGGGGTCAAGACCACTAAAATTAAATCAATCAATCCATCCATGCTTTGCAAACATGGGCTTTTGAAGAATTATTTTAAGATACCACTTTAAATGAATGATCCTTAAAAATCCATAGGCATGAAATAAAAGTTAATATTTAAAATTGGGATATAATTCACATACCCTAAAATTCATCCTTTTTTAAACAGTGTACACTTCAGGAAATGAAATTAATTTGAGATGCTCTGAGCCTCTGTGTCACCATCCATACCACCAAACATCAGCCTTGCAGAAACTTTTGAGATGAAATGATTTAAGCCTATAGAGTACACTATTCATTATAAGAGTTCAGGAAATGTTAGATTCTCTTCCTTACAAAGAAAATACAACCTTCCCATTATGACGTAACTTTTCTGAGGGCAAGGGTAGTACCTCTTTTAAGCAAATAACGATGGGCCTGATTAATATGGCTTTCTCCATTCCCTTTACAGACTAAAAGAAACAAGGAAGGGTTGGAAGCCAGGGGCTCAGGATGTTACCTGCAATGTATCGAATCTCAGGCAAGCACATCATGAGGTCAGGAAAACGATTCGGCTGATGTGTATATTTATATTCAGTGAAATCCTGGCAAATGTACCAATATCGCTTGTTCAACTGTTCCAGCTGTGAGGCACTGGTCAGACCCCTGATATCTGTGAAAAAAATCACACAGGGGATGGGAGGGGCTTTCTAAATGTGGAAGAAATATAAGTTTGCTTCTTGAATTCAATTAAAGTTATTAAACACTGCCACAACTGTGGATCTCTTTTTCCTCCTTCTCATATGGAGGAACTAAACTCTGAAAAAGGGAAGAGAAATAAAACAGGAAGAAATAACATAAACTACAGTCACTTGACTGAGTTCCCAGCACAGGTCTGGCACAAAACAGGCACTGATGAACGTTGAACAGATTACTGAATAACTCACCTGTCCAAATGCATCCTTCACGGTATCTTTAAATTCGCCCTTTGTTGGAGGCAATCAGAAACTTTGCTGTTATGTACACTTCCATGCTTATACACACTACACATGATCTCCTGTGTACCTCTACTCTTACTGTTTTACCTGTGATATCCCTCCATTTAATACCTATGTGTATGTTGTTATTTGTTGTTATGTGCCATTGAGTCGGACCCGACTCACAGCGACCCCTCCTTGGGTTTCTGAGGTATCATCACTACAGAAGTATATTGTCCAACCTTCCTTCCGAGGAGTGGCTGGTGGGTTTGAACTGCCAGCCTTCTGGTTAGTAGTCAAGTGCCTTAGGCACTACGCCACCAGAGCTCCTACATATGTGTATAGGTATGTATATTTCTCTCTCTCTCTTGCTACATATAAATCTTATGAAGAGCAGTGAAACACTGCCTGATCTATTACTGGAAAACTTTATGAAGAACAGCGAAACACTGACACTGTCTCTCTCAATCTATCTCCCTCCCTCTCCACACACACACACACACACACATCTTTTTACTATACAGAATATAAAGGAATATTCCTTATGTAAATCTTACTCAGCCTTTGATGCCCAGCTCAGATGTCTCTTCCTCCATCTGAGGTTCAAGTAATGTGTCATAGTGTTTATTTCTTGAGGCCAAGGACCTGGGGTCTAATTTATTTCAATGTCTTTAGAGCTCAGCACAGGATCTGGCTAATGGAGGGACATAGGACACTAGGTAATTGCACGAATGGTGTAGAAGCAAGAGAAGCAGGTATGGGCAGTGTGAGGGGATGACGGTGCAAACAAGAGTCTCTGGACTAGGAAACTGAACATAGGAAGAGAGCGCTAACAAAGCCATGGGCCGCAAAACAGCCCAGTTCTACTGAAAGCAGAGTACTCATATGCTACTTTGGAAAGAAGAATGTGAATTTTCTTTCATGCTAGTTATCAGTAGCTACCAAGTACCACTTTGCAGGTAATATTCCACATAAATTGTATGCAGCACTTTTTTTTAATGAAGCTATGCTTGGCATGTATGTGTGAATGTGAGTTTTTGTATATCCCCACTCTGCCCTGAAGCTCGTCAGAACCACTGCCAGCCTGTCACAGAGGCCTTATCTCCAATAGTTTCATCAGTCACTCTGCTCTTCTTTAGTCACTGGTAAACTTGGTACATATTTTAAATGACGCATGTACTGTCCTTGGCGTCTGTGTTTAAATGCATTAAAACTGACTAAACAAAGTGAATCCTCTTCCTTCTTCTATGAGTTACACAGACTGTGGCATTTAGGCTTGAAGAAAAAAAAATCCAGTGTTCCTGTGCCATAGAGGGGCAGGATGGTTATGAAGGGGAGCATAGGCCACCAATGTGGCACCCACATGGTGTACAGATCCTGTATGACAGCCCTAAAGAGAGCAGGTGAAACAGGAGGTCAAGTGCTCCATAGCAAACAAACAAGTTCCTTCTTCCCACCCTCAACCACTCACCTTGATTTAGGAAGTTAATTGCTTTCATGCAAGCATATTCTTCATTGCTGACCTTTAGCTGATGGAACTTGTGATATAGGTAGATGAGTCGCTCAATCACCTCCATCCCTTCGTCACTAAATCTGGGGAATGGATATAGCTGTTATCAGTGGGCTCTGGTACCAATGGAGGCCAACGAAAGGCAGACAAAGGACTCCTACAGCTCCTTATGACATCTAAGGTAGGAAAGGGGCTGAGGCAAGGGGAAATGGAATCCAGAGCCATTTGTTAAGGACAGATCCATGGTGTGTCTTGGCAAGGTGCTGTTCACAAAGTCAGAAGGAGTCAATCAAATCTTAGTTCGAATCCAGCTCCTTCACTTACAAGCTGTGAGACCTTGTGGAAGTAATTTGTCCCCTTTCAGCTTTGGGATCCTCATATGTAAAATGAGAGTGATAGTGCTTGCCCACTTAGGCAAACAAGGACCAAGGGAGGTTTGGGATGTGTTATGAAGATACTGCTACTACTGAGATGCAGCCTCTAGTATCAATGACAGCTGTCATGGTGACTCTGTGAACCTCTGCTATAATGCAGAGAAAGCTGCTGATTTTATTTATTTAGGTTCACTGTTTCCAGTAGGGCTGAGGTTTACACACAGTTAAAGTTTATCCTTGATTTCAGCTAGGGTTAGAGGGAGGGAAACATAAACTGAGCTGCCATGCCAACCTCTATGCTGGACACTTTATGTGCATTATCTCATTTAATTCTCTACACTCTGAGCTATATGAGATTATCATCATTGTTTCAGATAAGAAACTACAGTTCAAAGAAGGGAGGGGATTGGTTCTTAAGCATACAGCTAGTTGGTGGCAGAGTTAGAGCTGGAAGCCTGGGCTAACTCCCCAAAGCCTTGATTTTTCCAATATCTAAGTTGGCATCCCCTAGCAGAGGTGGTTAAAAGTTGGTCATGATTTTTTCTTTGGATTAAGTGTGAGCTCCTTGGAAGAAAGACCAAGTTTTAGGCAAAGGAACCCAGGTTATACCACTCTGTTGTTGTTAGGTGCCATCGAGTTAGCGCCAACTCATAGTGACCCTATATACAACAGAATAAAACATTGCCTGGTCCTGTGACAGCCTCACAATCCTTGTTATGCCTGAGCCCATCGTTATAGCCACTAGGTCAATCCATCTTGTTGAGGGCCTTGTCCTTTCTCGCTGAACCCTCACTTTACTAAGCGTGATATCCTTTCTCCAGGGAATGGCCCCTTCTGACAACATGACCAAAGTAGGTGAGATGAAGTCTGGCTATTCTCACTTCCAGCATTCCTGCTGCACTTCTTCCAGGACAGATTTGTTCGTTCTTTTGCCAGTCTATGGTACTTTCAGCACTCTTCGCCAATACCACAACTCAAAAGCATCAACTTTTCTTTGGCCTTCCTTAATCATTGTCCGGTTCTCACATGCATATGAGGCTACTGAAAACACCATGGCTTGGGCTAGGCATGCCTTAGATATGAAAGAGAGATCTTTGCTCTTCATCACTTTAAAGAGGTGCTTTGCAGCAGATTTGCCCAGTGAAATACATTACCCAATTTCTTGACTGCTGCTTCCATTGGTGTTGATTGTGGAACCAAGTAATATGAAATGTTTCACAACTTCAACCTTCTCTCCTTTTATCATGATGCTGATTATTGTCCAGTTGTGACGATTTTATGTTGAGGTGTAATCCATACTGCAGACTGTAGTTTTTAATCTTTATCAGTAAGTACTTCAAGTCTTCTTCACTTTCAACAAGCAAGGCTGTGTCATCTGCATATTGCAGGTTGTTAATGACTCTTCCTCTAATCCTGATGCCACATTCTTCATATAGTTCAGCTTCTCCGATTATTTGCTCAGCATACAGATTGAATTAAGTATGGTGAAAGGATACAATCCTGATACTTCTTTCCTGATTTTAAAACATACAGTATCCCCTTGTTCTATTTGGACAGCCTCCTGGTCTATGTACAGGTTCCACATGAGCACAATTAAGCATTCTGGAATTCCCATTCTTCTGTTATCCATAATTTGTTATGATCCACACAATCAAATACTTTTGCATAGTCGATAAAACACAAATACATATCTTTGTGGTATTCTTTGCTTTGAGCCAATATCTACCTGACATCAGAAATGATATCCCTCGTTCCACATCCTCTTCTGAATCCAGCTTGCATTTCTGGAAATTCCCTGTTAATATATTGCTCCAAATGTTTTTGAATTAGCTTCAGTAAAATTTTGTTTTCATGTGATATTAATGATACTGTCAATCATTTCCACACTCTGTGGGATTATCTTTCTTTGGAATGGATACAAATATGGATCTCTTCCAGACAGGTAGTTGTCTTCTAAATTTCTTGGCATAGATTAGTAAGTACCTGCAGTGTAGCATCTGTTTGTTGAAACAACTCAATGGGTGTCCCATCAATTCTGGAGCCTTGTTTTTTTGTCAATTCCTTCAGTGCAAGCTTTGACTTCTCCTTCAGTACCACTGGTTCTTGATCATATGCCATCTCCCAAAATGGATGAACACTGAACAATTCTTTTTGGTAGAGTGACTGTGTATTCCTTCCATCTTCTTTTGATGTTTCCTTCATCATTCAATATTTGGCCCATAGAATCTTTCAATATTGCAACTCGAGGCTTGGATTTTTTCTTTAGTTCTTTCAGCTTGAGAAATGCTGAGCATATGAGCAGTTGATGGATGGTGTTCTTCCATTTTGGTTTTCTAACTCCAGGTCTTTGCAACATTCCATTCTTTGCAACTGACTTTGTCTTCTCGAGCTTCTCTTTGAAATCTTCTGTTCAGCTCTTTTATCATTTCTTCCATTTACTTTAGCTACTCTCTGTTCAAGAGCAAGTTTCAGAGTTTCTTCTGACATCCATTTTGGTCTTTTCTTCCTTTCCTGTCTTTTAAATGACCTTTTGCTGTCTTCATGGATGATGTTCTTGGTGTCATCCCAGAATTCATCTGGTTTTTTGGTCGTGGTGTTCAATGCATCAAATCTATTCTTTAGATGGTCTCTAAATTCAGGTGATATATAATCAAGGTCATATTTTGGCTCTTGTGGACTTGTCGGAATTGTTTTCAGCTTCAACTTGAACCTGAGTGTGAGAAGTTGAAAGTATGTTCCTCGTTTTGGCTGCAGATATTGAGCTTCTCCATTGCCTCTTTGCACAGATATAGTCGATCTGATTCCTGTGTATTTCATCTGGTAAAGTCCACGTGCATAGCTGCCATTTATGTTGTTGAAAAAAAGTATTTGCAATGAATAAGTCATCGGTCTTGCAAAATTCTATCATGCCATCTCCAGCATCAGTTCTATCACCAAGGGCATATTTTCTAACTATCTGTGATGTTTCTTTGTTTTCAACTTTTGCATTCCAATCATCAGTGATAACCAACACATCTTGATTGCATGTTTGGTCAATTTCAGACTGTGGAAGGTGGCAAAAATCTTCAATTTCCTCATCTTTGGCTTTGGTGGTTGGTATGTAAATTTGAGTAATTTAACTGATCTTCCTTGTAGGCATATGGATGTTATCTTATCACTGACAGCATTGTACATCAGGATAGATCTTAAAACATTCTTTGTGATAATGAATGCCACACCACTCTTCCTCAGTTTGTCATTCCTGGTATAGCAGATCATATGGTTGTCTGATTCAAAATGGCCAAAACCAGTCCATTTCAGCTCACTAAAGCCTAGGATATTGATCTCTGTGCATTCCATTTCATTTTTGACAACTTCCAATTTTCCTAGATTCATTATTCATACATTCCATGTTCCAATTATTAACGGATGTTTGCAGCTGTTTCTTCTCATTTTGAGTTATGCCAAACCAGCAAATGGAGGTCCTGAAAGCTTTACCCCATTCACATCATTAAGGTCGACTCTACTCTGATGATGCAGCTCTTCCCCAGTTGTATTCTGAGTGCCTTCTGACCTGAGGGGCTCATCTATTGGCACTATATTGGACAATGTTTTAGGGCTATCCATAAAGTTTTCTAGTAATATATCATACACTGTTTCACTGCTATTCATAAAGTTTTCACTGGCCAATTCTTTGAGAAGTGGATAGTCTCTTCCTTTTTCTGAATCTGTCTTAGTCTGGAAGCTCCACTGACACCTGTTCACCATGAGTGACCCTGCTGGTATTCAAAATACCCGTGGTACAGCCTCCAGCCTCATAGCAACATGCCAGCCATCACAGTACAGCATACTGACAGACAAGTACTGTTAGTACCATCAAGTTTATTCTGACTCGTAGATACTCCATGTGACAGAATAGAACTGTCCCATTGGATTTACTTGGCAGTAATCTTTACAGAAGCTGACTGCCAGGTCTTTCTCCTACAGAGCTACTAGGTGGCTTTGGAACAGCCAACCTTCTGGTTAGCAGCTAAGTATTTAACGAGTTGCACCACCAGGGCTTCTTTATACCACCCCAGGGACCTAGAGAATACTTCAGAGATGAGGCTACCACAAAACCAAGGAGGTAAAATCTTCATGGAAAAGCAGAAGTATGGGAGTTTATAAAAGCTGGGATCAGGCTTGGGCTCAGCCTTTCTAGGTCTGGGCTTGACAGTGGGCCAAAGAGAGTTCCAGATGGGGCTTAAATGCAGCCTGGTCATGCTGAGAAGATGCTTAGCTCCAGGGCTGCTGCTTGGCAACATATTTGGATTTGAGTGCTACAGTCCTGTGCCAGGCAAAAACGCCCTATCTGGGTAGGGTTCAGGATACCTGGAATATACTTTCTACTGCTTTCTGGGATCTACTACTTTCTATGATGACTTTCAAGGCTTTGCTAGGGCTTGGCTTCATAGGCAAGGTGGATATTTTCCCTTCCCTGGGGAAAAAGCCCAGCTGTGGCTGAGGCCAGAGGAGTGTGCACTTCTTAAGCACCAGGGGGAGCCGCAGCAACAGTTACCTGAAATGTGGAGCTCTGACTCTCTGCCTCACGGCATGGCTTCCAAGTCAGCCTGAACTGGGGTTTCTTTTAGGCCTGGTGTTTGAGCTATGATGGTAGATTCAATTTCTCTCTACACCTAGACCAATAGTTTTTACTTTATTTGGCTGACAGAAAATTCATACTGAATAAC